CTGTGTACAGCTCAGAGTTCGAATAATAGTGTTTGGCATTTTAGAGTATTGTTGACATCAGCAATTTTTGTAGGACCCAGGGTGTTTGATCCTTCTTAGGAAGAAAAGTAATATGAACTACCTGGGACAAGTTAAACAGGTAGAGTGCATCAAAAAGAACAAGAAACAGTACTCTCTCTTTAAAGTCAAACAGCAACAAAAGAGTCACTTTTGTATACAAGCACAACACAACATGTTACATCTGCATAAAAATCTTTAAATCTTGTTTTGTCCCAAGAACATTGAGTGGGACTTCAACATCATATAATATTAGAGTTTGGGGACCTTGAAAGCAAGGCTAAATGTGAGGTGCCATCATGTACTTCATGGCAAAATACTACAGAGATTTCATAAAAGAGTTGATGAAGATACGGGAAACCTGTAGGGTAGACATGAGAGTAGGGAGATACCAAAAAAGTTCTCTTCACGTCACATTCTCTTATATGCTATGGAGGAGTTGTCCACACTGCAAAATATCTTGAAAATTGTCTGTATTGACAGGGAAACTAATATTACAATGGTTAACAAAGGACAAAGTTTTTAAATTACCTGCTTTTCACTGCTCTTCATAAAAGGTAGAGCTAGAACCTATGTATCAGCAACAGCAATGTCACAAGCATTTTGAAGACAGTATCAGTTTGGGACAATTCTCCACAAATATTGGTCTTAATGATGATTGTGTACATTTTGTTAAGCAACAGCAATTATTTAAAATATTAAGTAAAGCTTTATCTATACACTTCAGCTTGTAGTAACTTAACTTCTCTGTACTAACATCTTTAAGTCAATAAAGACTTCTGTGAACATTTATTGCAGGATAAACAGATCCTTTTTGTCTTAACTTACGATAACTGGCAGGAAACTCAGCTAAGTCTAAAGAGCTACTTTAATACTAGAGGAGTCTTGTGATGGCATAATGGGAGATTACGTCAGTGCAGTTATGCTTCTGGAGTTAGAACGATCACAATTCTCTGCCCAATTCCAGCATACAATAAGAGTCAGCATTAGAGGCTGTGTGAAGACAATGATAACTAAGATACCTAATTCACGTTATGGGTTTTGTCTAGCACATTATAACTGATGTAAGCAGTGGAACAAACTTTATTGCCAGCTCAAAACACAAAATTTATTTTGTATGAAATGTGAAAACACCTTTTTTTTAATTTGATAATTAAGATGGGATTCAAAATATTGCAGTTCATGAGATAATTTAGATTCCATAGTAACCAAAGTACAGCGAATCAAGAGAAGAGTACAGGTGAACATTATATACTAAACTTTGCATTAATCCAAAGCAGCATGTTTGTCTGAACACTTTCATGAGCATGTACGATGAAAGTTTACTTTCAAATTAAAGTAAGAGATACTGGGGACACATTTATACCATTTTTACACACAGACAAAAGCTCACTCATTTGACTTCTGAGCAGAAAGGAAGACATGTGAAGAAAATACATTAGAATAAAACCAGAGCTTGCAGTAACATAAATATTTATACTGCTATGTCTAAACAGGTCTTATTGCTATGTACAAACTGAATGCATATTAATTTTACACAGCCCAAATTAAGCAGAGCAAGCTCTGCTCACAAAATAATGTGAAGAAATTTACATTCCTAAAGGGTGATGTCTAGCAAAGAAGAGCTGATGGATTCTCAGCTCACATAGGTGTAAGTTTTGGTGGAGGTATCAGAGCAAAGAAATGGATTCTACAAAAGACTATGCTAATCTATACTTGTGGGGACATTCATCTGCCACCTTTATGTAAAATCACCCTGAGTGACATTGCTGGTTATTCGCTCTATAGGCAACAATTTATTTTAAAGCTTATGCCAGGTCAGAGATCATGACCTTTTATGCTTTTGACACCCCAGCATTGAACTCTGCTTCTTCCCGTCACCATACCCACAGTCTGAAATCTCACTTCATAAATTAATGAAGCCAAAGGTGCTACATAAATTGCTGGTAGTTATTAAGCAATGTTTAAGCCCATTATTTTTCAGAGTTCTGCAGCAGATGCTGACCCAGTTAATTTGAGGATGTTGGTTCCAACCTGCAAAATTGCTAACTAGACCTATGATTTTTTGGTAGCTTATCAATTAATGCCCTCATTAAATCCAAGAGGGATTCTGAGAAGGCACTTTAACCCCCCCCCCCATAATTAATGAAATCTGCCACTTGCACTTTAAATACATTTCCCTTGCTCCACTAGAAATCAAATTTAATAGTCTTCAGAGCATATTCAGTATTTATAAACATGAAGAGATTTTCAGGCATAATCAAAGTTTAATACAGCTATGAGATTTTCTAATTGTTAAACAAGTTACACATATAACTTCCTATAAGTTCTAGAGGTTTTAGTATAACATGAAAGGGAAATATTTGTCCATTGGTAAAATTTCATTTTAATACATGATCACTTGCACTTTATATTTATTTGAAAATTCCTTTCAATATTGATAGGGCAGTAGGAGCCTTTCAGTAGGAACCTATCATTTAATTCACACTGAAGCTAACTCATCAGCTAGCTTGAAATGTCTTGCTATGTTAAAAAAAGAGAGGACTGACCACTGAACAGCATTTGCAATAGTGAAAAAGGAAACCGTTCCAGCTAATTATCTCCAGTTTTGAGTGAAGTTGTCTGCATGAGAATTATATCTGCCCCAGGATTCAAATCATCCCTTCCCTGCTTTTTCAGCATGCACAGGCGTGCTTCAGGAATTACAGTTTATAAGTTACTCTAAATCAAATCAATACACACAGTGGGAATGAGGCAAGAGACTGGAAACCAGCATATTGTTTAATGTTTAACTTACCCTCTTTCAACATATATTCAAGATTTACAAAGCTAAGTATATTGTAACATTTATGAAATGGACTCAACATGGCTACACTTCTAGCTCTGGCCAGCAAAAAAGTGTTATTTTCTTAAAGGCAAATATAAATACAAGGCAGTGATGCTCTATTTTCTATTGCAGCATATTAAGCAGACTATAAAAGTAAAATTTTCTGGCTAAAAAAGAAAATTAAAAAAAACCCCAAAAACCAAAACCAAAAAAACCAAACAATCAAAACTTAAAACCACACTAGTTTATTTGAGATCGGCCTCACTTTTTATGCTTTGTAGAGTTGGAATTATCTGTGATGAATAGCAAAAGGACAAAGTGGCAATGGTAACCCATTTGAACCAAAAGACATAAAGCATAGGAGATTCAATATCCAAGAATTATCATTCCTCAAATGAGAAAGTTATGATGCATTATTTCTCTGGACTTTAAAAGGTCTATCACATTTTTTGTACTATTTTTAAGAAGTGATCTGTGTTCTAGACAAACTTTACAATCTTCTTCTTGACAGAAAAAACCATTGTTTTATACAGAAATTAATTAGTCTGAAATAATTAATTATTCTAAAAATTAATTATTCTGAGATGTCATCTCTGCTGCTTTCCTGCTGTTTAGAAAATCTGTAATACCTCTATATTTAGAGGTAAATGTATCAAATTTGATTTCTTCAGAAAGAGATAAGAATATTTTTTGACTTATGAACAAGTGAACACTGCTTCTTAAATACAGACACTAAAAGCAAATGGAATCACAGGACCCTTGAAAGTTCAGCATTCCACTACAGAATCACAGAATCACAGAATATTATGAGTTGGAAGGGACCCATAAGGATCACTGAGTCCAACTTTTAAGCGTGCACAGGACCATGTGAAGGAACAAGATTCAGGATGGGAGCAGTTCCAGGGGTGGAGAATGACATACAGCAATTGACAGGACTTTATTATATGGACTTTATTGTTACTATGTGGTTTCTTTGTATCCACACTGCACAGTGCACAGCCTGGGCATGCCCGGGCTTGCCACGAGTTTACCTGTTCCCCGCTTCCCTGCTCCCCTCTCTGATGGGCTGCAGAAGCTGCAGAGAGGAGACAGTTACCATTCGCGCTTTCCTTCCCCAGTTCCTCCCATGTTCCTCCCCGTTTGCCTGTGTCCCTACCCCAATATGTTCCCCCGTTTGTCTGTCTCATGTTCCACCCCGTGTTTTAGCCCTTTCCCCACCTGAACCCATAAAACCTCTGGACACCTCAGTAAAGTATTTCATTTGCACCTCTTCCTTGTCTCCAGGCCCATGTGCTGTGTCACAGCCCCATCCCCCCTCAGACCGTGACAGGACAATCCCCAACAATCACACCATGTGCCCAAGAGTATTGTCCAAAAGCTTCTTGAACTTTGTCAGGCTTGGTGGTGTGACCACTTCCCTGGGGAACCTGTTCCACTGCCCAACCACCCTCTGGGTAAAGAACCCCTTTCTAATATTCAATCTAAACCACCCCAACGCAACTTCAGGCCATTCCCTCAGGTCCTGTCACTGATCACCACAGAGAAGAGATCAGTGCCTGCCCCTCCTCTTCCCCTCACGAGGAAGTTCTAAACTGCAATGAGGTTTCCCGTCAGTCTCCTCTTCTCCAGGCTGAACAAACCCAATGATCTCAGATGGTTCTCATACAGCTTCCCCTCAAGGCCCTTCACCATCTTCATCGCCCTCCTTTGGACACTCTCTGATGACTTAATGCCTTTTTTATGCTGTGGTGCCCAAAACTGCCACAATATTCCAAGTGAGGCTGACCCACTGCAGAGCAGAGCAGGACAGTCACTTCCCTTGACCAACTGGTGATGCTTTGCCTGATGCCCCCCAGGACATGGTTGGCCCTCCTGGCTGCCAAGGCACTGCTGACTCATATTCAACTTGCTCTCAACCAGGACCACCAGGTCCCTTTCCAGGCACTGCTTTCCGGCATCTCATTCCCCGGTGTATCCGTGTATCCAGGGTTGCCCCATCCCAGATGCAGAATCTGGCACTTCCCCTTCTTGAACTTCATATGATTGGTGATTGCCCAGCCCTCTGATATTTCAAGGACTGTTTAAATAAAATTTGTGAACAGAAAAATTACCCATTTATTTATATTAATAGAAATATATATTTGGTGCAAATACTGTCTTGATGTTACCTATAATTTTTTTCTTTTCGCAATGTGATTTTCAAGAAATAAATATATGATGCTGGATTTATCCAGTTTCTTAGATCAGGAAGGTATAAAAGAACATATTTCTTCTGTAGACAAAATAGTGTTTGTTAATAAAAGCTTGAAGACATTTATAATTTGCTTAGGTCTCCAGCAGCTTACACTCTCTGGCCAGGCCTAAAAAAGAATGCAAAAAAACACCTTTGGTTGTTTTTAATCAAAATTTTACACAGCATAAGCAGGAACATGATCTTTATTTTCAGGAGTTAACATTTTTAGAGAGTTATTCTGTGCTGTTTTGACTTTTCATCTCTTGTTTAAAAATATGTTGTAGCATAGTAGGAGTATATTACCCAAAGAAATTCCAAAATAATTTAGCAAATACAGAGTTAAATGGAAAAAAAAGAGTAAAGGTATAGTAATTTTGCAACAGGCTCACAGTCTTGCCCCTCTATACTGTGTATACCAATCCCCTTCCTCCTACAATCCTTGGATGGTATTTGTGACTTATTTTTAGGCAGCATCTCATTCCCTGGAAGTCAGTAGAATCACATGCAATGCCTGTAACCTGTGTAGAGGCAGACTGGTCTACACAAACATTGGGAATGCATGATGAATAACTGAAGAACATTAAAAACTGACTCCAATTTCCAGTGGACCAACCACTAGAACAACAAATGATCCCTTTGGCAGCATACTGCTCTTCTCCAGAGCATACTGTGAAATAATTCTGTTGTCTTCTGAGTGCTGTGCTAGTATCTGCAGAACTACTTTACATACAGTCTACTGTTTTTGTTCCTTAATCATTTAGTGTCCCTGGATCCTTAATTTTCTCAACCAAAAATTGATTGATTAATACAACTAAATGATGACTGACTCTACATAAGGTGCACAGTATAGTCTTCTATTTATTAGTATATGTCTAAATGTGGCTAATTTTAGCCAGCTTAAAATATACTTCTGTTTATGGTTGAGTTTTTGTACCAGTATTATATCCTTTGACAGAGAGATGAACAGAATATATGCAGAACTGTAAGAAAGTAAATTCTTTTAAATTAATTGTCAGAAAACCCTGAATAGTCTGATTAGGGGGTTTTTAGTATTTTATTTGTATGGTTAGTTGCATGTGGAGCTTTTTGTAGTGCTATAAATGAATTAAGAAACAAAGACAGAAAGTCTTTTTTTCTTTTTTTTTTTAAACTTCATTCAATGAGTTAGTTATGAGTTACTACTGTCCTACCTGTTAAAAAAGTAGGCTGGGCCTCACCTGGTAAAATAACAGTGGTAAATTCCAGAAAACCTGAAACGAAATTCAGTAACAGATATGATCAGCTGTCTGTGGGACGGTATAGAACAGTTACAATGGAACTAGGGGTGTACCAAAACTAAAAACATGCATGCATACATTTTACCCTTTTAACTACATTGCCTCTAAGGAGTTTTTAATTAAAAGAAAAATAAATTTTCATTACTAGGAACCCTAGCATCATCCCCACATTCTATAAGAGAGCTACAGGTGTTTTTCCAGGAACTGTCATCATACAGGCCAAGGGCTCTGCTTAGTGTTGGGCATTAAGCCTGAACATAGGCTCAATTACACCACTTATATCATTAAATAAGGGTGATGCCACAGTATGGACGCTAGATAGACTATTGCATTGACAAACTCATCTTGAGTCACCCCAGTTGCAACATCCACAACTATTATCTGACTTTCTTGTACTCCAGTAGTAGAATCAGGATGAGTATCATGATTTCCCTGGGAGCCAGATCCAGGATTGCAAAATCAAAAGAAATTTTGTCCAATTACACTCCTCACCTAGCACCTTCCATCAATAAATTTTGGTTTTATTACTATTGGAAGTAGTTCAGCAGCTCTTTTGTAGTTAAGTCTGAATTATTCAACAATGAAATAATTTCTTTTATTTGAGTTTTATACTTGCTGAATAAAACAAACAAAGTCAATTGCTAAACACTTGATTATCTCAATTGTTTCATGCAATGGAAAAAGTGATAAGGGAATAGCAACAAAAAAAATCATTTATTTGAACAGCCTTTGGATACTTTGAGGTTAAAAAAGGAATACAAGAATTACACACTTTCTCTTTCAGAAGCAAATTGAACCAGTGCATGCAAACCTGACTCAGATTTTAAGACTTGATTTATTCATAAAACCAGTTCACTTAACATGATATAACAAGAGCAAATAAAATTTGATTTATAATCACTGAAATTGCAATCACAAAAATCATTACTTGACTGGCCATGCTCAGCTGATCAGTCTGGTAATCTCATGCAAAAAGCCAAGCAATGGTTTGAGCAATAGAAATTTGTTGGTATTAAATACTTCACATTTTTAAAACTAAATATCTCATTTCCAATAAAAGTTACGTTCATTGACCTGTGTTAAACTAGTATAATTAACATCTTCTTGACCAGAGGGTCATTTGCAGTCTTGTTGAATTGTCATCACTCTGCCACAGCATTCATTTACCTTCTGTGGGCAGAAAGCAATTGTCTGCAGTGCTTGTCTGCAGTGCTTGTCTGCTTGCATGTGATACAGAGGCCGTATGCTGCTAATCTTATCTCAAACCTTTCATTTACTGGCCGTTGTTGTTCATGTCAGTGTCACTATTAAATGTACAGTGCTTTAGGAAGACAGATAAATGAAAAAGAGAGAGAAAGAAATTGAGAGCTGTACAAAATACTGAAGAGTTTTCATGCCAGCTGTTTTGCATAATTCCTCTAAGGAAAGAGCTGCTTTCTCTTCACTGCTTATCCAGCTACATCATCCTGGGGATCTCTATAAGCCATATCTACTTGGGCAAAGAACAGGCTTCATTTCCAGCAGTGAAAGGCTAGCATAGGTAAGTTTACCCAGTGAACTATTCAGATAATAGAATTTGGCAAAAATCTTGTTCTCCACATGCATCATGAATGAAATGCCTTTCATGGGCCATACATTTTGCGATTACCTGAAATGAAAGTAAACATGCTTCAGTAAAAGCTGAAGCACTGCCAGAAGTCCAGGATTCCACTGCTTCACTGTTCATTCCCCACTTATTGCTGACCACATCCACAAGTTGAGCATGTTGCAATGTCATGATGCAAACATAAATTTAAGGTGAATTTTGTTGGACAGCTGCTGCATACACAAGAAGAATGGTAGCTGAAAAAGTCAGTCAACAGATTTCTGTTTAGTGTCTGCAGGTAAATGAGTTTACTTGCCAAGAAGCAGTGCACTATTCAAGTAAAATTGAATCAGCTAGAGAATACGACAGGAAAGAAACTGCTTAGTCTCAGGTGTTGTAAATTAAAGGCCGTCGTTAGCCAATTTCAGCAGAACTTACTTTAGGTGAACCCTGCAACAAGCAATCTACCTGAACTGCTTAATAACCTCCTATTTTCTTGAGGTGAAGCTCTGCTGTTAGATTTCACAATATTTTATGTGATGCAACTCAAATGGTATGGTACATTATCTGACTTCATGCATTGCAACAAATATGTTTTGAAGAAGCCTGCACTATCAGTGCTGTTTATCATCAATTGCAGTTTTCTGCTGAGATGTAAAATGGCACATGCCAGTATTTCAGACAATGTTTAGAAATAGTCTTTATCTTTTGAATCCTTTCAACCTGATCCAGGATGCAAGTTAGTCTTGTCAGAGTTTATCTCTGACATGATGAAATTTAGTCTGTCATAAACAAAATCAAGTGTATTTTCAGTTTTTAAGTCTTAGAATGTTAGAGCAACTAGTTCTAACATCTACAGTAACAAAACACCAAAAAGGCTCATGTTAATCTTAAATAAAAGTGATACTTTAAGTCTAGAAACAATCCCCACAGATGATCTTTCTGGAATTCACTTTGATAAATGGTAGACAACTATACAGATAACTTAAGTGCAGTATGGTGATGCATTCAAGAGTAAATTTCACACGATCTGAATATTCCAGAAAGATTTCTTCAAAGGTGTTGCACATTTGCTACTACTTAAGTGACTGCATATTAGTGGTTCTCCTATTATACCTGTCTGTCATGTTGTCTTTTCAGAAAAGATGTTCCATAGAGCTCACATTACTCTGTGGAAAAATTATCCCTTCACTAAACCAGCTGTCAAACTGGCTTGTTGCCAAACTGTAGAGCACAATTTCAAAAATCAGATACAGTTTGAGTGAGCAAGTTAGAGCTGGCTTCCTGCCAAGTCTGCAAAACTCAGTGAAAACCCTTCCACTCCCTCCCCCTTTAGGCAAAGAGGGAAAAAAAAGCTATAGAAATTGAGAAAAATCAAAACTAACCAAATTATACTAAAATATATGTGTATTTTTACATATATTACAGTTATATACAGTAAGGATATTATGTACAACTCCCAAGAAGAAGAGGGGAAGGGAAAATGGGAAAAAGGGACAAAAAAGAAGAAAACAAAACAAATATGCTCAATAGAAAAATCTAGTAACCAGCAAAATAAAGAACTGCAAAATCTCACCACTTCCCTCTAGAAAAGCAGGACAGCCGGACACGGCCCAGCGCTCTCCCCTCACGCGTGGCAGACACAGCAGTCACTGCAGGCCTCAGCTCCAGATAAGCCAGACCGAGACAGGGACCCACCGTTCCCAAACCTCGCCATTCCCAAACCTCACCGGAAGAGAAGAGAGCGAGGTCTGTTATCTCCGCCTTATTTATATGTTGCTTTACGCTAAAGGATATGGAATACTTCCTTAGATTTCTGACCCCGTTGCTAAGGAAGGCCTAAAAAATCCAAAAGCCAACCCACTGCACTGAGAATAATTGAATCAGTAGTTTGAAAAAGAAAAGGAAAAGAAAAATCACTTTATATTAAATATCTTTAACATTTAAATTGACTTTATATTACCGCCTACAACATTTAGTTGTTTCGTTTACAATATCCAAAAATAACAGAGATGAAGGATGGCATATCTCGTAAATGCCTTTCACTATCGAGTAGCAAACTCTAGTGATATCTATTAGACAGAGGAACTGAGTAGTAATGGACTGTAAATTCAGTCAAAAACTTAATGGAACACAGGGCAAGAGAGATCTCTGAGTCTATGTTGCTTTGCTTATGGACAGGCTAGCTACATTCATTAGGAAAAGTGTAACAACACTACACTACTGTGTAGTACAGAAATCACTGAAATAGACTTAAAGAAGAAACGGGAAGAGTCTTTATTGTTGGATTTTCATGGAAGGGCCATAAGAGTAGAGGAAAGAAGAAAGCAAAAGACAAATTACTACAAGTAGATGCTGATTGCCATTTGACTATTAGGTTCATTCACTCATGTTTTAAAATACAGAACTGCTACAAAAAACTTCCAGAAACATTTGTTTTTGAGTCCTGAACATGTGTTTGATTCAACTCTTCAGCCAAATAAGTATTCTAAATTCATCTCTCTAGTCTAATATGCTGGGTATTCCCTATTTTCTTGAGGCGAGGCTTTGCTCCTATATTTTGTAACTTTTGATGGGAAGCACCTCAACTCAGTGAAGTAGTACAAAATACAAGTCTGGCATCGCACATCACTGCAAATATGTTTCCAAGAAGCCACACCACAAAGAAAATTGAATAAGCATTTGGCTTAACTCCTTGGTCAAAGAAATATTCTACACTCATCTGATCTCTTTGTCCAATGGTTACAGACAGCCTTGAATACTGTTTTCTCTGAGAACATCTTGTAAAGACAAAAAGCAGAATACCAGTGTATCAGTAATAATATCACTAAATAATGTGGAGCTTCAAAAAATCAGGAGACAACCTTAATTCATCTATGATTTTCAAGACCATGGAAATAATTTCTTTTGCTTTATACTAAATTCAATGATTTGATCAAGGCTGTCTTAGATATTTGTTCCAATATTAAGCAATTTTCACTATTAAATAGACAAACCCCACACTTAAATCAGAGTATCTTCTGACTTCCGCTTCCATGCATTGACTGGATTCATTCCTCTAAGGAGGCCCACAGTATTCTCACTCCCTTCCAAAACAACAGTTATGTAGGTTGAGGATTAGTAACAGGTCAATAACAGACAGAGATCAGATATTATTAGAGCTCAAAAGTGTTGAGTTTTCCACAGAATTCAATTTTTCAGACTCTACAATTAAGTTCATAACAAAAGTGGAAGTGTTAACAGTTTCCTTATTCTAGGCATCTTTCCAGTTCCCCACAGATGGTACCTTAACTCTCACAAGTATATCTAGTGGAAGTTTCTTTATGGTTTTATTGAGTTTTTTCTAGTTCATTGTTTGCAATTTTCATGGTCTTCACTGTATTCAACACCTGGAGATTTAAACATGAAATAGAACTCAAGAGCGTAGATGTTTTCCCACAGGTCTCGAGAGAATAATGAATAATCTTATATTTATTGTTTAGGATTACCTAGGGTGTACACCTGCTTTTCACCGGTTCTCCAGTCATGAAAACCTTCTATGGCAGTCGATGTACACTTGTTGCATTCATGTGAAGCAATACTAGAAAACCCTGTTCTTATTAAAGAGAGAAACGCTATTTTGTAATGGCAAACCCTAATCTTATTTTGAACAAGTTGATGACCAGAGCAGGTCATCATTATCATTATCATTGTCATTAAACAGGAACAAAAATCTGGGGCAGTAGATAGTACGTAATGTGTTGTCAACAAAGACAAATGTGCTTGGGAAATTTCAAGGGGCATCTGTTAGTGCAGTAGGGTGTCAGAGTAGAAATTTGGGGTAATAGCAGAAGAATTCCAACCAAGAGCCCCAAAGACGCAAAAAGTCTCAATAATCAAGTAACAGTCACTGGAAGAATGTACCCAAAATATGTAAATCAAGCTCTATGAAAACAAACAGACTAGAAAAGGTAGAGTTTGCTCCAACATTCTCTTCACATTTGAGGATTGGCACTACTCATTTATGGTAAATTCTTCCTCACTTTCCATAGGGAGAGGATATTGGTTTTTATTTACCATAAGATACATATTGCTCCTTTAGCTCAGGAATAAGAGGAATTTCATTTTTTTAAGAATATATTTGAGTTAAATAAATTTGAATTCTAAACAGCAGTGTGCATGTACGTGTGTGTGATTTCCAGTGTAATGTTACCACATGACAAAGTGATTAATAGTCAGGCTAACCCTGTGTAATACACATTTTCAGCTCCATGACACCCACAAGACAACGTGGGTTCTGGTTTATGACAGATTACATGATCTACCTCTATAGAGCTGTGGTAGGATGAGAAAAAAGAAACAAAACCAAAAAAAAAAGAAAGAATACCTGTAAGCATTCAGAGACATGAGAAAAATACTATTTGTTGAGGAACTATGAGAGGATGTGGGTCCTGCTCTCTAGAAAAACCTTTTAGAAATAGTCACTAACCATTAACCAAAGCTTTCAAAAACTTCCTTAAAAAGGCTTAAAAAACCATTTTCACTTGACATGCTCCCTAGGACGTATTTTATTGCAGAAAATGTAAAAATAACTATGATATAAGAACATCTGATGTTTCTAGATGATGCTTGTATCTCTTAACTAGTAAAGAGCTGATATATTGTAAGACATTTAAAATAGAAATAAAATCTGATAAAGCTAGAAGGGAATAATTTTTGTTCAATAGTTCATATAATAATGATTTCTAGCAATGTCTGCAATAATATTTTGATATTTTACTGTGAATAATTAGGTTTAAATACATGCATCACATAGTCAACGTGCTGGTACAATAATCAAAGAAAACATTCCAGTTAAGAATGAATTTCTAATGAGTTCAATTTGCTGATTTCTTCCTATGATTACATGTTAGAGACTGTTGTAGCAGTGAAGCAGCATAGCCATGCAGCAGTCAAGTCTTCCTAACCACAGTCACAGTGCCTGTATCTACCATTATTTCCCAACCAAAGCATGCTCCAAATAATCAATAATCAATATTTTTGTATGCTTGGTATCCTCATCTCTGGAGATAACACTTGGGTAATTTTGCTGACTACTTTCCAGATTTGTAAAAATCCTGAGACTTTTGAATTCCCACATTCTGGTTTACTATAGTGACAGCATTCTTTGTATCCATTTCAACGTGACAACATCTTAAAGTGCAAGAACAAAACATCCTAGAAATTAAAACAGCTGTATAATACTTTGGTTTGACAAAGGAGCCTTCAAGTCACAGAAGAAAGATTTTTTGGTAGAGATTTGACAATGTCATGGACACACACAGGACCTAGGGCAGGAGGGGGATGTTGCCTAAACTGGTACTGCCTTCTAAAAATATACAGCCCAGGAGAAAAACTTTTCTTCCACAGTATCTCACATTCAAGAATCAGATTATAATCCAAGAACTTTAGTATCAGCAAGACAATTCTGGTGCTTGTATCTCAATCACAGAATGTCAAGAAAAACTGTTAATTTTCTCACCCTCCTACATGTGTTTTTTTCCCTGACATTTTTAGGCTCAACAGTTCAATTTGATGATACTTCTGTGTCCCTTCCAACTTCAGATATTTTATGATTCTATGACACTTCTCAAAACACTATCCATTAGGGTGCCTTTGTCAAAGTCCTTCAGTACTGGAGAGATATTTAGCTGGGTAGCCCTGAAATGGAAACACTAGATTTAACTGCCAATAATTCAACTCAAAATAGCTTATCTTGCTTCTTGAGCTGTCACTGCAGGTTGGTGGAAACGGTATATATATTTTTTAAATTTATATTTAAATATAAATTTATATTTATATAAATTTATATTTATATAAATTTAAATTTATATTTAAATATAAATTTAAATATCCTAATTATTAGGATCCTAGTCATAGAATGGTTTTGATTGAAGGAACCTTCAAACATAATCTAGTCCAACCCCCCTGCCATGGCAGAGACATCCTTTCCTGGATCAAGTCAACCAAAGCTCTGTCGAACCTGACCTCGACCATTTCCAACGAAGGGACATCTGTGACTTCTATGGGCAACTTGTTACAGTGTCTCACCAAACTGGTGTAAAAAAAGTGTTCCCTATGGCCAATCTAAATGCATCCTCTTTCATTGCCCCTTGTCTGTCACTGCAGGTTTGGTAAATAATTTCTCTCTTATAAATTCATTTTGTAAAATGCAAAGCTGCAATAATGTCTCCCTGGAGCTTTCTCTTCTCCAGGCTGAACAACCCCAGCTCTCTTTGCCTTTATTCATAGGTGCTTTCAT